ACACGGCGGCCCAGAGCTCTGGTACCCTCTCTTTCTTTGTGCCTGGCCTGGCCCAGTGTCTGCAGACGCCTTCAGGAAAGAGCGTGGCCATGGCGGCAGCTCCCGTAGATAAGGGCCTTTCCTTTTCTGGACTTTTGGCCCATCCACTTCCTTCCAACGCAAATGCGTTACTTGCGATGTATTTGGGTTTTTTCCCAAGTTGTGACTGCGCTGGTGTTGGTCTTCTCAACCTGCTGCGTCATGTCCGGAGGCGAGGGCACGCGTTTTCCTCTGCGTAGTGGAGGGGGCCTCATGGCATTCGGTCCTCACGGCTGTCTGTGGGCAAAGCAGCATGGTGGCCTCCCTTGCCAGGGTGGAACAGGGTGTTGTGAGGGAGCCTGGCCTGTGCCTGTGGCTCATCTTCCGGCTCAGACAGCTTGGCCTCTTCCAGGGCCAGCCCAAGCAGGCCGGCCCAGAGCTGGGACTGACACGTGTTTGGGACCAGGTGCCTGGCATGACTGGTCCAGCGCTCCGTGCCGCCTCCCCGGGGCCCCAGCTGCCCCGCACACAAGGGCATAGCCAGGCTCCCGGGGTTCACAGAGACTAAGCTCTGACCATCCAGGATTGCAAATGTTGGGTTTTTGCAGGAAGCCCAGTGGGAAGCTCCCCGCTCCAGGGCCTGGAGAACTGTCTCAGAGAGATACCTGTGCCCAGGCCACAGTCAGCCTCGTCCTGGTCCTCAGCGGGGGACAGGGGGCCACAGAGAGCGGAGCCCAAGAACTGGACGGCAGACAAGGAAGGTAAAGCATGGCCACCCCGGTGTCTGAGAGCAGGGCAAGGCGACTCACACACTGCCAACCCCCGCCCTGCGTCCCTGCGCGGCCGGCAGGCCCACTTCCAGCCCCGAGACAAGATGCTCTGGGGATGGCTCTGGCAGGGGCTTCTGTGAGGCCAGAAAGCCAAATAGCGCTGCCAGGATCTGAGTGTGGGCACAGTGAGGGCGGGATGCCCAGCCCCACCATGTGCTACTCTGGGTCCAGGCCTGCTCTTTCCATCCTGGCTGTGCCGGCCCTGCCCACCTTCAGCTCTCCAGAACACTCGCTGAGCTGTGGGGCCCTCAGGAGTCCAGGTGGCTGGGTCTGGGAATAAAAAAGGTCCTGGAAGGTTTGGGCGGCTCCTGGGAGCATCTGGAGGCCTGGTGTGTGTCCCACACCTGGAGCTCGTGTGCCCGAGAAGCCAACAGCGGCAGAAACTATTCTCTGTCCAGTAACTTCTTTGTCTCAACGCCCCATGGGGCTGACAGGCCCTTTGGCTTCTCATTGAAACAGGACTGAGGGGTGAGGCCTGTGAGCCAGCCCATCTGGGACAGAGTCAGGGGGAAACACCCACCAGGAGCTTCCGGCTGGCCAGCCCACAGGCGCTGACCTCTAGCAGTGTCCCCATCTGTTACCAGCGAGGACTCAAAGACCACGGGGCCACCAGGCCGGGACCGTGGCGGTGGCTCCAAGATGGTGAGCTGATATCTCCCTCTGTGTTTAGTGGCAGCCCTTCCCTCCAGATAAAATCCTCCATGAGGGACTAGATTTCCCCTTCCCTCTCCTGTGTTCCTTCCATCTCCCGCCATTGCCCCGGCCGCATGCTCCACACCACAAGCTGCGTGCTAGAGCAGGTGGGCCTTCCCCAACCTCCCGCCAGCTGTTGGCTGGAGCATCCGAGGTGTGCTGAAAGAAGACTGTGACCTGGGTCGCTGAAAGGAAGGCGGGAGAATGGTTTTTATGCAGCCATTGGGTTTCTCTGGGAGAGGACTGGTCATTTCCTTTATTGCAGAGATTGCCTGGGGCCAAGGGGGGCGGGTCTCCCTCCTCTGGTGCCGCTGCTCCTTTGCACTTAACAGCAGTGTTCCCTCCGAGCCCAGCCATAGTGGGCAGGCAGGGTCTGACTTGTTTGGCTCAGTGTGGTATTTCTAAATATTCCCAGCAGAAAAGAACTGGCTTGGGGTGGGGGGTGAGGTTCCTGGGGACATAACTGAGTCTCTGCTGTGGACCGCTGGTCCTGAGTGGGGTGCAGGTAGGTGCAGGCCTGGCTGGAAGCAGGGACGTGAGACTCCGGGAATGTCCCCCGCTGGCTTTCTGGGGCAGCCCAGCCAGGCTTGGCCTCGCTTCTGTCCGCCTGCCAGCAGGAGTGGGAGCTGTTCAGCGTCTACCCGCGCTCGTGTGGGGCCGTCAGCTGAGCTGGAGGGGGACTTAGCCTGTTCGCTAAGGTAGAGGGTCCTCCTGAGTGTTCTTTTGTTGTCATGGCCCAGGGGCAGCCACGAAGCCCTCCCCACTCCATTGCCTGGAGAACTCCCTGAAGGGGATCTTGCCTGGGAGGCCCTTGCACTTTGCCTGCTTGGCAGGCTCCGGCTCCGGCTCCGGCTCCGGCTCCGGCTCCGGCTCCAGCCCGGGCCTCAGCCCCAGCCCTGGCTCCGGCTCCAGCTCCAGCCTCAGCAGCTCGGAGGGAGAAGAGCTGTGGCAGCTGCTTCCACAGGGTGAGCTTGCGGGGGT